GGGGGGGGGGGGGGTGGAGGCCATCGCACCTGCGCCAGAGCGGGCGCCACACGCCGACGCCGGCGCTCCACGGTGATATTGGCGCTGGCGGGCGCGAACACGGGTGCAACATGTGCAGGCCCCCGCCGGCGCCGGCTCCGCACCTTTCCCCCTTCATGCAACGCAGCCACCGAGGGGGCGACCGGGCCGGCCGAAGCGGGACATGAGGGCAGGGGGCTGCAGGGAAATGTGTGTGCGAGAGGGCGCCAGTCGGAATGTGTGCCCGACAAAGCATAGACCTGGTCTGGCCCGGGGCGCCGAGGGCAAGAGGGCGCACGCGCACGCGCCTTTGAGCAAGTGCCCAGGTATGCTTGTACGAATTTGTGCCGGGTAGAGTGGGATTGCGGCTGTTTGTGTACGTGCGCACACAAAGGCCCCGGCCCCGGTCCACTGAGCTCGCCCCCCCCCCTTCACATTTTCCTTGCACCCACGCGAGTAGCCCCCCACGCCCGGCATGGAGTCGTCCATTCGCTCCGTTGAGCGGCATTTCACCCGGGTCGAGGCCAGCCTCGAGCACATCCAAGACTGCCTCGACCGCGAGTTCATCCAGTCGTGCGTCCCGCCCGCCCGCCCGCGCCGTCGACCATGCCGAGGATGACATCTCGATGGGGCTTTCTCCCCCTGCCCCTTTTTGCCTCCTCTCGCATCCTCCCCCTCGCGCCCCTTCCCCCCTCTTCGAGGCCGTAACACCCGCGCCCTATGCTCCCCCCCCCCCTCCACCATAGCTTCGACGTCCAGCATGGGGAAGACACAAACCCGATCAAGCTCCATGCGCGCGTGGAGCAGCTCCTCAGCGGCCTGTCCGAGATGAAGAGCGACCTCGCCGCCCTGCGGGAGACCCACCAGGTGCGCACCCCTCTCGCCCGGCAAGCAGCCCCTCCCCCGGCCTCCGCCAACCCCATCTCCGAGCACTGACCAGTGGTGTATGCACAGCAATTCCGCGATGACTTCATGCCACAAATGGAGCGGAATCTGCGGCTAATGCAGACCCTGTCGCAGGCGACCGGGCTTCCGCAGCCGGACGGTGTCACCCACGCCGTGGCCACCCTGTCTGCTGTGCTAGATGCGTCGGATACGCCGCCCGCGCCTGTGGTCCCAGCGCCTGCAGCCGCTCCGGCCGACGACCCGACGCCCCCGCACCGGTGAGGCGGTGCTTCTCCGAGGGAGGGGCGTGAGCCCGCCTGCCTCTCTCTCCCTCCGGCCCTCTTGGGCCCTCCTGACAATAGACACCCCATCCATGGAAGATCGTGTGCCCTCCCAGCATAAATACCCGCACCCCGCCTGGCACTGACGAGCCAGGTCTTTGCCTGCGATGTCCCTGGGGGCGAGGAGGTGGGGAGATCGACTGCGGACGCCACCCGGAAGCGGCGAACCTCATGCTGGCGCCCGGACTGAGCACAAGGCGAGAGAGACAGAGAGGGGGGGGGGGTACGTGCGCTATCGGCGCCGTGTGCGGTGAATGGGCTCTTCTCCCTCCAAGTGGCCGGAGGCCGCGATCTACGGCGCCGGGCACGGAAGTGGACCAGACGCCCTCGAGCAAGCAACGCTCGAGAACCGCTGGCGCATCCAGAGGGCGAATGCGTTGGTATCTCCAACGAGTGCGTGTGCGGTGGCATTTGGAGCCTGCCAATGCGAATCGTGGGCACCCTCGCCGCTCCGCTCGGGAGACGCGCGCCGGAAGTGCAGAACCGAGAATCAGACCCTCGGTCCAGCCTCGCGCAGTTCCGCTCTCTCCAGCACACACGCAACGCACACACACGCACAGCGAGCGGCGACACAATCCGAGGACACGGGGGGAGAAACAAATCCAGCGCGGGAGGGACAGGGGGATAGCGAGAAAAGTGCCCCGCAAAGCGGAGCACAGAATGCGCCAGGTCCGCAGGGGGGCGGGGGAGGGATCGGAGGAGGAAAGGACAACAGGCGCCTCGCGCGTGCGCGCCCGAACAAACGCGCTCGCGCCGCATGTGGACGTGGCTTCTCCCCCCCCCCCTGTGCTGCCGCTGCTGCTGCTGCTCCCTTTCCCCGCTCGTCCTGCCGCGCCCGGCGCGGGGAGGCGCGGAGCGCCGGGAAGGAAGAAAGAGCGGGAGAGAGAGAGAGGGGACGGCACGGCGAGCACACGGCAGGGCGGGGCGTGCGCGTACACACGCACACACACACACACACGCGCGCGCGCGTGCCTCGAACACCCACACCAACCCCTCGGCGCGCCCTTCCCCTCTCGCCCCCCTCCCCCGTACAACATATCCCCCCCCCCGCGCGGCCAGAAGGCAGGGCAAAAAACCGGACAAAGGCATCACAGACACACAGGTAGTATTGTGTATGTGCGCGTGTGTGTCACCCGGCCACCCATACCGCACCGGGGGCGGCGGCGGCGGCAGGAGAGGACGGACAGGGGGGAAAGGGGACAAGTCCCTTAGACGACGGTGCCGGAGGCAGCGGCGACACGGGGCCACAGGTCGGAGGACTCCTTGGCGACGGGGCCAGTGATGGCGGAACCCTTGAGCTCACCCTTGGGGTTGACAATGACACCGGCGTTATCCTCGAAGTAGAGGAAGGTGCCATCGCGACGGCGCCAGGCCTTGCGCTGACGGACGATGACGGCGGGGTGGACGCGCTTGCGCAGATCGGGCTTACCCTTCTTGACGGTGGCGATGATCATGTCGCCGGGGGAGGCAGAGGGCAGGCGGTTCAGGCGGCCCTGGTTGCGGACGGCGGCGATCATGTAAAGGTTCTTGGCACCGGAGTTGTCAGCGCAGTTGATGACAGCGCCGACGGGCAGACCAAGGGACATCTTGAACTTGTTGCCCGCAATAACGGTACCTGCGCGCGCGCGCGTGCAGAGGGGGGGAGAGAGAGGGGGGAAGCGGGGCGGACACGAGGAGCGTGAGTCGCGAGAAGTCAAGAAGCGAGAGGAGGAAGCGAGAGCGAGGGGGAGAGAGAAGGAGAAGCCGGCCGATCCGCGCGCGTTATGCCAGAAATTGCCGCCGGAGGTGATGCATGTCCCGAGAGAGGAAGAGAGAGGAAGACACCCCCGCACGGGGAGAGAAACCCAGAGAGAAGCCCACACCGAGAAGAGAGAGAGAGAGAGAGAGAGCGCGCGCGCTGCACCAGCGATGGCCACACATGTGACGCGGCTCGCCCCCAATGGAGAGGGACGCGCACGGGCGCACGCTGGCGCGGCAAGCACTGCCCCGCCTAGAAGTCTGCAGCATGTACACACACATCAACAGACGCCTCTCCTGCCCCCCCTCTCCTGCCCCTCTCTCGCCCCTCTGCCGAGCGCAGGCAGGCACACGCGCGCTGCAACACCACGGCGAGAAGGAGAAGACGAGGAGGACAAACCCACCTTCGCCGAGCGCGACCCCCGCCACCCATCACCGGCGACCCCCGCTACACACCGTCACACAAGGAGGGGAACGACATGCAAAGGGAACCGGAGAAGGAGCGGAGAACCGCGACATGGCGCGGGCAGAATGTACGCCACAGCGAAGGGAGAGCACCGACCGACGCCACACAAGCAGCCCACAACACCGACAACACGGGGACACCAAGAACGCCGGCGCGGGCCAGCACACCCCGAGAGTCGCAACACACACGCACGCACAGAGGTCCCCAACAGGGAGAGGCGCAACAGGCCCCCCCTGCCAAAGTCCATGCATGCGGTGGCGATCCATCGGAGGGCCAGCCCGGCACACGGCGAGAGGGCCACATGCTGGTGAGTGCGGCGGGGCATGCCGTGCGCGCGTGCGAGCGACGCCCAGCCGCGCGGAGAGAAGGGGGATAGAAGCGCACACACACACACACACGCGCGCGCGCGAGGACCGAGCAACACACGGGCGGAGGGGAGAGGGCAGGCCAGCGACCAAGCAGCAGGCAATAGCGGCGCACACGAGGATAGAGCGGCTCCCTGCCAACACTCAGAGGGAGGGGGCCGATCTCGCGGTGTATGTGCGTGCGTGCGTGCGTGCGTGCGTATGTGCGACGAATGCTCGCACATACGCACAGGCGCATCCCAAGAGGGGCAGGCAGGCGGCGCCACGTCGGATGCATGATGCATCCGATGCAGCAGCAAACACGGAGACCACCAGGGTGGCCCGCGACGCCAGAACAAGAACGTGCCCGTCCTCTGGGGAAACCACACACGCGCGCAGGCACACACACACACCGAGAGAGCGGAAAGCCCGCCCCCAGGAATTGGAAACAGAGGGGCTGGTATCCGTGGCGTACTATCTACTATGGGGAGGGGGAGGGCGGCATGGAAGGAGCCAGCGCACGCGCGAACGGGGGAGGAGTAATACGGGACTCCTCCCACACACAGGCGGACCTCGAGCACGCGCACACGAAGTGCGTCGGCAGGGAGAAGGGGGAAACGGGCAGGCAGGGGTCTCTCTCAACCGGGGGGGGGAACACGGCTCCGAGTGCGTGCGGGGCGCACATAGTCCGAAAGGCGGCCGCCGGGCAGGGGGGAGGAAAGGGCGGATCGCGAAACGGGCGCGCAGCGTTTCCCCTCTCAACCACGGGGGGGAAGGAACAGCGTCACGGGCCAGACACCATGCTAGGGTGCTGGGCAGGCACATCCAGGCGGCAGAGGGAACACGGGCGGCGGGGAACTGGCAACGGCGGCGGAGGGGGGGAGGCGGAGGGGGAAGGGGAGGGGGGGGCGAGCAGGCGAAGAAGGGGAAGGGGGGAGGGAAGAGGCTACGGGTCTGCGCCAGCAGGCAATCGGTACATACCACGCTTGGCAGACATGTTGACTCTTCACTCGAAAATGATTCAGACGAAACCAGAAAGAGCAAAGTAGAGAGACCGCCCGGTCTCCACCGAGGTTCCCGGCGCGGGCCCTCAAAAAGAGGGGCCTCCCGGGAGAGGGGCGCCAGGGGTGGACGCCGGGGCCGGGCGCCGGGACGCCTCGGCCCCCCACCCCCCCACCCAGGGGTCCGCCGCCGGACACCCACACACACACACGCACACACGCACACACACACGCACACACGCACCCGGAAACACGCCGGCCCCCCCCCTCCCCAGTCACACCCAGGTGCACACAAACGCCAGGCACAGAGTTCCTCATAGCCATGGGCGCCAACCCGGAGGGGGCCGCACACGCGGGCTCGGCGGCCGGACAGCGCCAACGAGGACAGGTACCCCCCCCCCCCGCCCCTCGGTCCTGCCACCCGACGGCCCTGGCCGTTCAGGGGGGAACACCACACACACCCTCCCACCCGCGGCCCCGGGCGATGGGTGGCGCCTCCGCGGTCGGAGGACAGCGCGTGGAGGTACTCTTCCCCCTTCCCCCCCCCCCCCTTCGTCAATGCGGCCCCGCGCTCGCCCCCTGAAGACCGGGAAGCGAACCCCGCATCGTACTCCGGGTATTTCTCCCCTCCCCCCTGCCTCGCAAAGTAGTGGCAGCGGCGATGGCGCCCGCCGCGGCGCGCCGCACAGCGTTCCGCCAGCCCATCCCCCAAGCCACTCACATTACACCCCTCGCCCAGGCCCCCACACGGTCCCCGGGCACATCGCCTGCTTGCACGCATACCCCGGGTCGCGGTCCGGCGCCCCCTCGTCGCCCGCCCGAGTTTGGAGGTGGCCTCCACGGTTTGCAGACCTCCCGCGCCCCCCCCCCCCCCCCCCCCCCCCCCGGCCCCCCCCCCCCCCCCCCCCCCCCCCCCCCCCCCCCCCCCCCCCCCCCCCCCCCCCCTCCCCCCCCCCCCCCCCCCCCCCCCCCCCCTCTGTGGCTGCGGTCCCGGACAGTCGGCGACTGATTGCCCGTTGCACACACACGCGGCGGCGCCCGCCGGGATACCCTCCGCACAGAAGCTGCAAATCCCCGGGTCCCATCAAATTGCCCAATAATATTCATCGAATATTCGAAAAGCTCGGCAAACCCTAGACCTCGCCGATGAGCAGGGGTGTGATCAATCCGGTGAAGAATGGGTGAACTGCAATGGGAGAACACAGAAAGACCCGAGCTCCCCGCCCGCCAGGACTGGCCACACTGGCCCTTGGTACCGCCGACGCTAGCAACAGGCCCCCCCCCCCCGCCAGGCGGAAGGTGCCAGGCCCGGCAAGACCGATTCCCCCCCCCTATTGGTGTCCTCTGTGGGGGCACCGCCCGAAGATCCCGATCGCCGACGGATTGGCTCCTCGTCAATCCCGCCCCCTTTGCAGGCCTCGCACCGGCCGGAGGCCGCAGATCGTCCCAAGTAGACCCGCCCCCAGCCCCCCCCCCCCGCCTGCTGGGGCGCCTCTACCAATAATACCACACCCCGGCCCTGCTCTACCGATCGTCCCCCTCCGCCTCTTTGCACCCCTCCCTCCCTCCCCCCCGCCCCTCGCCCCACATCACACAATGGACCCCAACCGCGTGCTCGGACTCGTGCAGCAGTTTCTCTTCGAGCGCGGCCTCCACCAGACCCTGGCCGCCTTCGAGGAGGAAACCGGCGGCCTGCTGGACGCCTACGACCAGGACATGGCCCGCACGCAGCCCGGCGGCCAGCTGGTCGAGATGCTGAACACCGCCTTGCAGGCCCGCGTGGAGGCCGGTCTGGCGGAGATGGCCATCGCTCGGTCGCTCTCTCCGGCGGACGCGGCCTTCCTGGCTCCGCACCCGGCCGGCGTGCCGGGCATCAGCCTCCTCCGGAACCTGGCCGGCCTCCACGGAAACAACATCCTCTGCGTGGCGGTGCAGCCCCCGGTCCCGGATGGCAGCCAGACCCCCGACCAGCCGCGCTACCTGGCCACCGGCGGCGCCGACCAGCAGGTCATCCTGACCAACCTGGCCACCGGCCTGCCGGAGAAGTACCTCCACCACCACCGTGCCGGGGTCCTGTCAGTGGTGTTCAACCCCCGCCGGCCGGATTTGCTCATCTCCACCTCCATGGATGCCACGCACCATCTGATTGACGCCTCTGCGGACATGTTCTCCGCCGTGGCCCAGTCCTGGGCCGACCACAAGAAGTTCCTCGTCCGCGCGGCCTGTTCGTGCCTCCCCCCCTTCCTGATGCCCCGCTTTCCCGCTCTTTTCCCTCCCCTCCCATGTTGACTGCGCCGCATCCTGCGCGCAGCCTAACTGCATGCCTCGCACTCACTGACCCCCCCCCCCTCTCTCTCTCTCTCTC